GGCTCTGGCTGGCAAAACCTGCTGGCCTCAGCCTCCTCAGCTGGTGCAAGCTTAGGTTGGAGAATTGGAGGGCTGGGGTGTTGGGAAGTGGTAGGCTCCAAGGCCAGTCCAGGGCTTCTAGGTTTTGATTCTGATGTTTTGCCAGAGCCTGTTTGGAATTGCAGGATAGATGTTCTTGCTCCGAATGCCTCCAAATCAACATCATTCTTGAGTAATTACTTGACTTGGTGGCTTGGTTTCTCTAAGATTTGCCAGAGTTGGATTTGTGTTCGGGACAAAAAGTGCCTACTTCCAGTCCACAACTGAGAGCACAGTCAATGTTGACCATTCCTGGTTTCCGAAAAGTTTTTCCCATGTTGGAAACTTCGCTCTCTTCAAGCAACTGAAGCCACCGACAGGTTTGAGGATGAGACATGATCATGATGAGCGGATATGATGAGACATGAGCAGACATATGATGACGAAACTCGCGTAGCGATGCAGTTTTCAAGACAGCATGTCAGGATATTCTTATCCGGGTGGCATCTTCTCTCGTGATGAATTGTTTTTTGGCTTGAGTGGAGGGTGGGTGGGCCGCCTTTCCCTGCCACAGTCTTCGAGCATGCTTTACTCGGTCAGTCCGAGCCCAGCCAGTCTTGCAGGCTGCCCTCAGCAATGTCAGGAGCCACCTTCGAAGCACACCCACGGATAAGATGTCAGAAGCAGTGCCTTCAATGCACCCTCCTTCGTCCAACTCCAACAGTGCAAGCAACGAAGGTCTTGCACGCTGCCCTGAGCAATGCTTCAAAGCATACCCATGGCTGAGAAGTCAGAAGCAGTGGCTGCAAAAGCAACCTCCTTGGCCAGACCCTGTGCCTAGAGCCAAGGACCCTGAGCTCGCCCCCAAGGACCGTGAGCTCGCCCCTGTTGTCCAAAAAGGAGCGCCGGCTATGTTTGCTTTTTGATGGCACCACATGTGGTCGTGAAGAGATGATCATGTTGAGAAGAGCACCAGATGAGAGGTCCGAATGTGGTGGGTATTGGCAAATTCCTTGGTATTCTTCTAGCCTTAGTGTGTATCTGTTGGATGTCGAGGTCATGCTGGCCAGGTCTGTTCAGGTTAAGGAAGACATGTCTTGACATTCGTGGCCTTCAAAGAGTCTTGGCAGGCAACATGCCGCTCTATAACTGTAGGCATTCATTCCATGCTTTCTTCATCCTTGTGACCATGCGACGCCTCCTTGTTCGACGGAGCTCATGGACGTCCAAAACTTTGGCAGCACAAGTGAATGGATGGCTTCGAACGCTCACTGGAAGTTTCTCATTTGGAAGCTTTCCAAACTTTCCGAAGTTCCCAAGCCGACTGTAGACCTTTCCCAGGATTCCCGGTCAAAGCTGTTTTTTGCACCGCGAAGGCTCCGCAGCCTCTTCCTTGGCCGCAGCAAAGGCGTTCAACCAGGGGGTTCATTCCGACCTACATGGATGGCAGGTTGAGCAAATGCTTTTTGTCTCCGGTTGAGTTGTTTCTTTGGCTTTTGTTGAGTCAACTTAGACGGATCTCTGATTCAAGTTATAAGTTAACTGAGCTGAATTGCAGATCCCTGCCAACCAGTCTTGTTAGCGCAGTTCTATTTGGAGAATATAGTATAATAGTTCGATTGTGATTGTTCGTTCTTTAGAATGCATATCTCAATGGTCTGACAGCTTAGGGTCACAGAAGCAGCTTAGGACATGGTGACCCTATCGGCTGTTCTCGCGGAGGTTCTGTAAACCTCTAGCTCTTTTGTGTGTGTGTGTGTTTGCAGTCTCAACAACGCGAGCAGTGGAAGTTAATGACTTTGTTTTGTTGCAGTATGCGTGCTCCATTTTGCACTCTTTAGCCCACCATAAATCAAGCCAGGAATGATGTCAAGCGCATGTCATAATTATCACGCAAGAAACATGTTGAATCCTTTGTTTGGATTCACCATGATTGAACATCATGGAAAACAAGACATCCAAGTATGGAGAGCTGTATGGTTCAAGGCCAAAGGTGGGAAGCACCCTCTCTCTCTCTCTCTCTTTCTCCTCAAAGATCTGGCGAGTTTGGATGTGAATTGACGCAATCAAACGAAAGTGGAAAGACGTCATGGAGTGCCAAGTGACGAGTTCCTGCTATCTTGGAACGAAGCCACTCGAGGATGAGACCAGACTTCCATCCAACTCGAAGATGTCCAAGATACTCCAAGAAGTGTCTGATGTTCATTGAACCGGGGTACCAAGACATGCGTCAAAAACCAGTTATACGACAAGTGGGTTTGTGCAAACACGCTGCAGGGTTTTGGTTCGTGAAGAATAGATTATTACAGTAGCACGCTGGAGCACTTCTTTTGGGGCTCTTCGGTCCAAATAAGCCAGAGCTGGTCATTGAGAATTTTCTGCCAGAAGTTGGCTTCCACTCACGAGCAAGGAATCAACGTGTTTTAAGTACGAAAGAAAAGAGAAGTTTCACATGGGGAATGCTCGCAAACTAAAATTGCCTGAAGATGATCTCGGATGTATGATCACATATTCACAAAGCACGCTGAGAACAAAGCTGAAGTGGAGTGGAACTTTGAACGGCTGCACAAAATTGCTTCAGTCTTTCTGACGTTGGGGCAGCCTAAACAGTTGATGACTCTGAAGACCCAGTTGCTTCGGTTCCACAATCACAACATGTTTGTCCAACCGGCTCGAGTCTCAGCTAGCAGCTAGTGCACCTGTGTCGCGCAGCGGATACCGCCAGGCACGTGATGCATTGAGCTCTTTGATCGAGGCGACGCAGGAGACATTTTGCCATCCAAACATGAAAATGGAGCGCCACTAGTAGCTGGAAGTTATTAGTAACAAGGGTATCGCTTCTAGTAAAAGGGGCATTACTGCCAGTAGCAGGACCCCAATGTTTGTGCTGCGGCAGACCTCGAAAGCACAGATGTTGCATCTTTTGAAGAAAGATTGAGTTAACAGCAATGGTACTGATGCAGTGCAAGTACTTTATGAAAACTGAGATCTTTGCTAAGTGGCTCCATGCTGCAAAAATCTGCGAAATGCCTCGCGTTGCGGGAGGATGAAGACACTCCTCAGGCATCGGTTTCGAAGACTTTTGGGCTGCAGGCTCACGTAGGAGAACATGCAATGTTTCTGTTTCAAAGGGCTTACTTGGGAGGGATGAGCAACATTTTCCCAACCATCGGTGAAGGTGAGTTGCATTTTGGGGGCAAAGATCGACCCTGTGTTCTTATGGTAATTAGCCAGGTCTAACATTCTTTGGGTCTTTCTGCGGCGTTTGGGAAGCGGTGTAATAAGATTTGTGTTCAGGGGTGTCACCGAGACTAAAGGTGGGTGCGCTCATTACGCACAAACATGTACCGATCGGTCGTTTTTGGAGTTCATCAAAGCTATGAAAGGGTCATGTTCTTCCGTCTACAACTCGACGGATTGACATCGGCGGACTTACATTCGCCTCCCGCGGACGCCGATGACAGGACTCCGACCCTACGGATCCTTCGGATCCTTCGGATCCTTCGGATCCTTCGGATCCGGACCGCGGACGCCGCGGCGCCGCCCCTGCGGAAGACATCCGCGGGGCTGAGGTGACCGAAGGGGGCAGCGTCTGGTGACCTGGTGAGTCTGGGGAACAAAAGTTGGAAAGCTGAAACTTTCAACCAGGTAGTGCACCAAAACAGTGCACGAGCCGCATCAGAAGGGATTTGGATCAGTTTGAGGAATGAAGTTTCGTTGGTGTGTAAAGTGTCAAACTTCACAAGTCACGAAAGGTAGCTTCGGCTACCTGAGTTGTCTTTGTTTTTTTCCATGATTGGGTGGAAGTTCTGGGTGGGGTTTGTGGAGTCTGGGAACGGACTGAATCCCTGAGGTCGAACATTTCATTTTGATTCATTTTGCACTACTTGGTTGTTCCAGTGTGCAAACGGTCGATCCACTATCGCTCATGGTTTTTCATCTGCAGGATGTACTGTTCATCGGATGTCATGCACAGAAGGGCGGCATTCTTTGGTTTTCGCATCCTCAGGTGCCTTCGGACCAGAGTTGGAGCCTTGAGGAGGGTTCGGCAGCGGATGTTTGGGATGACTGGGATGATGACCTCGGAAGCTTCCAAGGGATCCAACTAGATTCTCACATGACTCTCATGAAAACACGGTTTCGTTCATGTTTCCTACTACTCTCCTGAGGAATCGGGAAGATGACTGTTTCCAAGAGTGCAAGAGTGGAGCCTCCACCCGACCATGTGACATTCCGCCTGGAGGGATGCACCGAAGCACAAGGCGATCAGCATGCAATCCGGTGATTGGCATCAGAGGGAAGTTTTGGTCTATTGACTCTTGACCATCGAAGAAGGAGTCATGATCGATTCTTTGGAGTCCACTTGAGGGATGTGTGGATTTTGGTCACTACATCTTCAAAGGCTCTAGGTGGGAAGATCGACCCAAAGCGGTGCTGTGGGGTTCTTCGATTGTGGACCAGGTGAGGAAAGGTCGGGGAGGACAGTTCGACTGATATTCTATTTTTCCGTGTTTGAGTGGTGCCGGTGTCTTTCTTCCATCAACCCTACTAGAACGTCACATCGGTTGAAGGTCTTGCGAAGCTTTTTTCACTCGGCTTGCTTTCCGCGTGCCCTTCTGACCAACTGGTCTAGCTGATGGCCCAAGTGAGTGAAGCTCAAGAGGGTCATGGTCATTGGGGGGGACGCCAATTTTGGCAACGACAGACACATGGGGGGGCAATGCGCATGGAATTTTCCATATGGTCGTCCGTCAACATTACATAGCTCAAAGCGTCCAACCCCCAGGCGAAAGAATTCAATTTTTCACTTGGGGGTCAAATGATCAAGGTCATGACATGACGAAGACAAATGAAAAGTGGTCCGATGATTCCTGACGACCCCAAAGGAGTAGAGCTTTCGAGCCATTTTTCATGCGCTGTTTCAATGAGACACTTCCACAACATATGCACCCGAATTCTTGTTCAGGTCGGTTCCTCCTGAGGACTTGTGCAGTTTGACTGCATTTTCTACCCTCCCGTACCCGGTGTTTCTGCACCTTCCCGCGGCAATGGGGTGATGCGCTCCCTCACGTTGCGGCTGCTGCTGCTATTGCTTTGGTCAAGCTGTCTTGCACAGGCGTGGACCACGTGCATGGGAAGGTGAATTCGTTGAACATTTGCGCAGGAATTCTGCCCAGGAATTTCGAACAAAGGAAGCACCGGCCAGGAAAAGTGATTATTCGTATTACAGAACTTCCTCCTTCCTTCGCTCACAGCTCTAACAGGATCTCTTCGAGAACACTGGGCTTCTCGCGGAGTACTTCGCGCCGTTCTCGCCGGAAGAGTCCTGTGATCCGGTGAACGGCTCCACACAGGCACAGAAGTGGCAGAAGGGAGGAAAGGTGTGGGTGTGTGCGAAACTATTGGAATCACAGGGAACCTTTTGGTTTTTAGGAGCAGGGGGCAGCAGGGAGTCCCCTGTCTGTTCGGCTGCCAACGAAGACAGCTGTGGATACTCCGTGAAGCAGATATAGACGCCAATCTGTGTACCTGCATTTCATAAGTGTGGCGTTCTGTAACCACTTTCTCCTCTAGATGACCAGGCTGTTTGAGGTAACTTTGAGGTTCGCAGACTCTGCATGTGACGTCGATCACTCTTCATGACTTCGAGGTTTGGACTCCTTTGACTTCAACCGGATGTGATACTACGACAGCGCAGTCCGGTTACTGGACACCCATGAGTCTCTCGAGCTTACCCCGCAAAGAACCAACATGGGGAATCTAAAGATCCACCAGATGGTTTTGATCCCCTCCCACAGTTCCGGAGAGCGCAGAGTGAGAGTGACCGGCCGGTGTGGCAGGTCCTACGGACTCGCCTTCCCAACCTGGTACGCCGGGTGGAGAGGCAGGGTCCAATGGGTCCATCACGAGTTTAAAACCAATCCCAGGAGATGGGTATGTGTATATCACAGTCCCATGACGCATAGCCTAGTATGCACCTGTTGTAGGAGGTGTTGGTAGAAAAAGTGGCCGTACAACTCATTCTTCAGCTGCTTTTCCGATTTCTCAAACAACAATTGGCCCGCAACGAATGCCAGACTGAATTTCGCGAGCCGGGACGACTTTGACATCGACCGCTGTGCCTTTGAGAAGGAGCCATCTCTGGTTTGCACCTTTTGTGCTCCTTGTGCCGTCACGCAGAGCGCTACAGATCAAGGCAACCACGTTTGAAAGGGGATTTTTGATGACTGAAGTTAAGTTGGGAGTCCCAGAGGAGAATTGTGGTCAGGAGTTCAACACTTGGCGATGGGTTTGTGCTTCAAAGCGTTTTGGTTTGTGCTTCATGCTTCTGCCACTTGGGGCCGCTCGTCCACAGGACTTGTCGGGCGACAATTTGCTGTACAACTGTCGAGGCCAAGAGGACGCCAAACACTTCCGGTGTCGGGGATTGGCGGGGAGTGGATTTGGATGATTCCATTTTTGAGTTCAAACATCTGTTTCCTTTGCTTTTGAAGTTCTTTGTCCATTTGCTGGTCTTCTCCAGTCTTGGAATCACTCCTTTGCTGACATTTCCTTTGGCCGACGCAGAGATGCGACAGGGCATTTTGCTCGATTTTGTCAGGAGCTTCGGAAGAACTTTGCAGCGCGCTACACAGGCTATTTCTACATCTTTTTAGAAGGCCTCGTGTTGGTGAAGCGGGTGATTGGATGGTGATGGTGTGTGGCTAGCATGATTAAAGCCACTAGTGACTTGTGCAGGAGCCATGAACATAGACTTCGACGGGGATCCAGAAGAGGGGCCCATAATGAGTTGCAAGCAACATGTGACTTCTATCCAGTGAATTGAGGCATCTACACCTTCCAGCTGGATGCGGGCGATGGTGTGCGGATGATCCTGGGCCACGATGCCTGCCCTGGCCAGCTCTGTGCCACAAGGCGAGCACCCGGCAGCAGTTGCTGGGTACGCTGCAAAGAAGTGGACACCTACCAGTTTGTAAAAGTCATAGTCGGGGCCATTTTCCATGACCCCTCCACTAAGAAGTTAATTGGAGGGCGGGTGTCCCACGAATTATCTTTCTCAGTTTTGTCTCTGCTCCGACAATTTGTCGAACATCTATTTTGGTGGAAATTAAAGTCGGATAAACACATTAATTTGCATGTTCCCGGTGTACCTTGGATCAAGCTAGGGTCCATATCTACTTGAGAACAAATCAAGAGGTTGTGGAGAGGTTGCACACCCCTCAATTAATAATAAGGGATCCGGGTCCATGATGCAAGAAATGCTGGCCCCAACTTGTTTGGCACTTTGGGTGCCAAACGAATACCGATTTGTGGCGTGATGAAATTGCGCCTCCTAGATGGGACGCGGCGATAGGAGGCATAGCTCCTGGCGTGACAAACACCCCGGCAGGAAAGCAGCCACCACACTGAAAGCCAAGCAGCCACCAAATTAAAGACCAGGCAGGAAAGTAGCCACTGCATGAAAACCAGACCACCATCAACCTGAAAAAACCAGGCAACGTAAATTATTTCAGGGGGTTGGCCTCTGAAAGAAGGGTAGATTATACAGTTTAGTTGGCAAGCATAGGCCTGGGGAAGTGGCAGGGGGATGCATCACCAGCCCCACAAAAACACTGCAGGAAAGTAACCACAACACTGAAAGACGGGCAGGAAAGTAGCCACCGCATGAAGGCAAACAAAGGTAAACTGAACATACAATACAAAGGTTCCGGGAACCAATGGAGACCATCGTCCCCAAATTTCCCCGCACTGTAGTCACATCCACTACTGTTTTGACTTGGGCAGAGTCTTTAAGCGCGGCTCATGTATGATGTTGGCGTGGCTGCTTGGCGAACCAAGGGAAGTTGAGAGATGTTTGGATTACTGGATGGGGTTTTGCTACCTGGGGAGGGGAAATAAAGCCAAGGGTTTGTGAGTAGTCGATGGGTGAAGGGGCTACCCCAAGCAAAGTCTATAGACAATTTAATGAGGGGTAGAGGTATCCTTGATTAATTTCCACAAAACAGGTGGTCGGTAGGTCCCTCAATTGTTAATTTTTTGAGGGGACCCCCACCAGGGCCCCATTTAACGTAGGGTTATGATTTTCCAATAGATGTTTATCATGTTAGTCAATCAGAGTGTCCACTGTTCTCTGAGATTGTGGTTCTTTGCAATGCGAAAGGTTTGATATGGTTCACCAGTTTGGGACTGGTCGGGCGATCCCTGGAATGGGAGCTGGTGAAACTTTTGATGCCCCTTTGTTGTGGGAGGGGTTTTGGAGTGGCAACGCGCGCAAGTCGTGGCCTGGGGCCTGGGCGGGATGAACAGAATCCGAAAGGTCAGTATGAATCCCACAGTTTAACAGGGACCAGGAACGTACCTTTGTCTCGTTTATTTTTTGTGACAGGTATGATGTGGAGAACTGGGTCATGCAGAATATGCGCAAGAATCGCGTGGAAGATGGCTCCTATGGGAACCAATGTGACGAGTGCTCAAAAGGCCAGGCATTGCATGAACACCTAGGTAGCTGGACAAGTTAATTGGTTCAAGAACTTTCTTCTTTATACATTGGAGAATTCCTCACCTCCAGCACTTTGGACCCGGAACCAGACCGTGCCTCGTTCCGCAGGCATCTACGACAACTGCCGAGTGACAGACTGGGGCTGTGAGCCCTTCAGCCTCTGGCAGCTCGAAGGCGCCAGGGCAAAAGCAAAGCGGAACAAGACCTTGCAGCAAGCAAAGGGCTGATGAATAAAACCTTCCACGACTGTTGATAAATAAAACCTCTTCTCTACCACCCTCGCTTCAAGATCCACCGCCCTTGTTTGAGGTCTTGAAACGCCACTGTGAACACACTTGGTTCATCAGCAGCAAAAGAAAGCACGTGAAGTGAAGACGACCAAAGAAAAGCAGCACATCAAAGCGGGAACTCCCACGTTGATAGGTGTTTCGAGCACCCTTCTGTGCACAATCTAGCAAACTAGGTAAGCTCGTCGATGGCAAAACGGGGGATGGCACCGACAATTGAGGGAGAGCTTTCCCTTCTGTTTTAAGTCTGTATTGATCATATGGGGCTTGAAATAGAATCAGCGGTCGAGATTAGCGAGTCATCATATTTTGGTCCTCAAGTGGTGCCAATTGATCGATGGGACGACGTTTTTTGTGAGGTGATAGCTGCAGAGACCCCGTGGGCAGAGAAGAGTGTCGGCAATTCCCGTTTCCAATCTCTCGGAATTACCAATGTTGGATGACCACAGTGACTACGGAGGATTAACACGATGGACATGGCAAGCTCAAACCTAAACCGCCTAACACTACGGTTAATTGTTCAGACACCAATTCCCATGTCGTTTCGGGTAAGAGTTGTCCTAACCGCCATCCTTCATCCAACGTCGGAGGTTAGTAGAGGACCTTGCTTCCCAGGTGATGGAGGCCTCTCCGGCACCTGTTCGGACCAGCCCTCTGTGCTGCAAAGCACGAGGCACGGAGCGCCAGGTCTCATCGGTCAGGCGATTCCCAAGCATGTGAGACATGAATCACCACTTGAGAAGATTACCCGGCAATTCACTCGTTCTACGGGAAGTCGCCTGACCGGTATTTTGTACTCGTTTTTTTGTTTGATTCAGATGGACTTTGTATCGGACCTGCACGGGTGATGCTCGGAAGACTCTTTTTGGAGATTCCCCGCCAAGCCTTCTTGTCATGTGGTGCAAGACTGTCAGACGGTTGAACTTAGATCAATCGGTTCCTCGCCTCATCACACCCACGAACCAAAATGAAGCCGTCGAACTCAGACTGTTTGGCCAAAGAGGTTGCCGCACCATGCGAAGTGATCGAAGAAATTCGTTTGGACCAGCTTTGACTGCAGGTACCTTACTGCCGGCTTGCACGCCATGCGAATTGAGTACTTCCAGCGCGGGGGTGATGCGCGTCTTTTCTTCCGGTGCCGCGGCAGACTCGAGGAAGCAGTTTTGTGTTTGCAAAAGGAGCACCAACATACCCAGGTCTCCAGGGGTGAAGCTAGGTTGGAGGCCATTGCTATTGGGAGAAGGACATGGAGAATGGGATCGTGTTAGTCGATCTCCCTTCTGACTTGCTCAACACACGACGGTCGATGCTTGATGCGTTGGTCCGAGGTATTCGGGGCCCGACACGGATGGGCAAATGATAGTGGTGCCACCGACTAAGCTGGGCTTCCCGAGATCTCAGACTTGGATCAAGGCCAGTGCTGACAGAGTGAGGGGGTGGGGTGTGCATGAATTGAGGTGGTCCAGGTGTGAAAGAGTCCTGAGTCTAAAAGGATTTGTCTCGGCCAAACGAAGAGATTGTGGTAAGGGGAGTGAGGATGAAGCCTATATTATGGTCTGTATGGTATACAGTGCAAACAGACCCGAAGCGAGGTGTTGTTATGTGCTGTTTGTTTAGTTTAGATTCGGCATCCGAGTTGGGACATCCTCATGACATTTCTTTCTGGGAAAGCTTGAGGCAGAATGTCGATTCAGCCCCGAACAGGCCGAACAATTTATGTTCAAGGAGTACGAATAAGACATTTGTATATGTTTGTATACAGCAAAATCAGGTCCCACAAGAATCCTTCACTCATGTGAGCTCTTTGAGCATGTGCCCACTCAACCACTGCGTATTGCATCACCGCCTGATGTGCACGGAGGAAGTCTTTGATGTCTCAGTGGACAATCCGAGTGAGCTGCCGCCCTCAGACGATCTCGGAGACTTCTCCAAAGCGCATCGCGGCCAAACATGGAGCGCCTCCCGTCCCATGAGCCTCCTGTGGAGGTCCCTATCTGCCTATCCCATCATATTCCGTTGACGTCGGGGACGTGGACGATCCAAGGTATCCCAACGCACTTCTGCTTTACCGGGCGGACGATCCTTTCCAGAACACCGGTCCTGGGGAGGCTCTTGCCGGGCGTGTCGCTTCCAGAACTGCAAGGTACCGGCAGGCTGTCAAAGATAGATGTTTGGATTGTGTTGGCTCGATCCAGAATGCCTGCTGCCTTCTTACTCCACATTTGTGGATGGATGTTTCTAGTTTGGCTCGGGAGGGGATGCATCCTTTGTTCATTTGGTCAACTATTCCAGTTCGGCTTTTGACAGGATCAGGTCTGAAAAGACTGCAAATTGTGTGAGACAAAAAAGCCTGCTGTACTTTCCAGGTGCTATAGTGGTCCCCAAGTAGGACAATGAGAATGGGAATGGATTTCTGCCATGGGGGCGCTAAAGTATATCTCATGTTCGGCCAACACCTTTTGAAATGTCAACATGTCAACAGCCTGGCTCTGTTCTGCAACTCCTTTGTGGTCAAGAAGAATGTTCCTGCAGGCAATGAGTGACTATCTGACTAACCATGTGCAGGGATGTGCACTATAGGCTCGCTGGAACTCCTTCAACCCTCAACATCATTCAGTCTCGATTCATTATTGGCCCTGAGCCAGCCTACAGCGCAGCCTTCCCATCAGGGCGCCTTCAGTATGGAGGTGACGGATCTCAACATCCCGATCTATGTCCGGTGGCAAGGTTTCGCCGAACAGCAGACGCCCACATAGTTGATATTATGTTTTCTCGTTTTTCCGGATTCGTTTCCAGGGATGACTGGAAGAACTCAGGGATTTCTAGGGACTGAACTTTGACCACGGGAGAAAATAATCAGGAGATGTTCGCTTGATGTTTCCCGCTCCCGACGGAAAACCTACGCTAGTCTGCGAGCTTCGCGCAAGGCTACTTCCTCTTTGTCCGTGGCGGGGAGTACATCTTCCGCCGCTTGGTACAGGTCTAGACAGGTCCAAAGGGACACCCAAATGGACACAAGGGTGAGAATCATGAAGGATTCTGGATCTAGCGATCCCCAAGTTGGAAGCTTTCGTTTTGGACACAACATCATTTTGTGCGCCAAGAGTTCTTCGAAAGTGACATAGTGCTGTGGAAGCTTGGGACATCGCTTGCGAAGGGATTGGGCAGATGAGAGATGCATGACCTCATCACCGCAATTACTCCAATGGCCTTTCATATTCCGCACTTGTGAGACTGCGGTATGAATTTGTGAATAAAGACTCTGAAAGGCAGAAAGCGTAACAGACTGAAATGCCGTTCTGTGTGCACAAAAAGCCAAATGCCAATTTCTAGTGATACCAATCCAGATTTCAGCCAACATAAAGTTCACACCAGAGCCGCATCGGCTCAAACGTCGCAGCAACCTCTTTTGGCAGAAACCGTTGCAAGGACATGCAAGGACTCTCTTCAAAGCTGCATACGGTATGGGATTGATTTGTTGCATCTTTTGGTTCTTTTTAAGTCACCAAACTGACATCGCCAAAGGTCGTATCATCCCACATCGCCCAGGCCTCGAGTCGGACGACGGGGGGCGTGTGACCTTCGGCGGCCGCGGCATGGAAGGGGAGAAGGTGCGGGCTGCGCGCGCGCACGCCATCGTCGTCCGAAAGTGGAATGGGTGGGAGGGGGCATCTGAAGAGTTGTAAACAATGGTTGTTTCTTTTTCATAAACTGAAGTGTTTCCCTGAGTAGACATGTATGACAGTATGTCTCGCAAGGATTCGCCTCATTGGATGCCCACAGAAAGGCCGAGGGGACCACATGAATCGAGGGCTTGGCTTTTTCCAACTTTTGGGCTTCGTAGAGAGAGAGAGAGAGGTGTATCATCTCATCATCAAGTCGTGAGCGGCTCGCCTTTTGGATAGCAAAGTGAGCTGCCTGAGGTGATGGTGGACAATCCTGGCATGCAGGAAGGCTCCCAGACAGCGCAAACCAGGCGACGGAACCTGGCGATTCCAAGTGTGTATATGGGTATGGGTAGAAGTTGGGTTCAACTTGGGAATCTTAGGTGTACATGACAGGTTTATTCAATCTTTTTGGGAGGTGAGGTGAGGTGACATTTTTGGCTCTTTTGGAGCTGTACTTGAGAATCGGGACCTGAATCCTGCGCCGACTGATCGACAGGATGCAAGTGCTTCCAGGGCTGCACCCGGTGCGTGTGGAGTTCTTTTGGAAGCCCTCGGACACGGTGGCGAGCATCCAACGGCCTCCAGGGATCAAGGCTAATGGGGGATAGGGTGGATTTGGTGGGAGTGATGGGAAAGAGAAGATATTCCAGGGGAAGGATGTAAAGATGAAATATTTCTGTTGCAATCTGTTGATTGAAGTGCCTGGAGCCTTTCCCAAGAAGGCCGAGTCGTGCACCCCATGAGTGGGTGTCTCCACACACAGAGCTAGACATGATTGTTTCGATTCACAAAGTCTACCCTGCTTTTGGTGTTTTCCAGGTCGAGCCCTGGATCATCCGGGATTAAATCGGATCAAAAGTATCAGCCCACCGAAAGGTGAAAAAGACTCGGGCACATCGAGGGCTTCATTGCGTGTCAGTTTCCAAGCACATCGAGGTGGCTCGTCACCTCTTGTGACGCCGACCGTCGGCTGACAGGTCACCTACACCGGTTTCGACACACAAGGCCAGTGGCGGTCATGAGTGTTTTTGGTTTCCCGAACAGGGCGTACCAAAAAGCGGGAAGAGATGACCAACAGGAGTCTAATCTGGGATAGGTCTATGGGTTCTCCAAATTCCGTAGAGTTTTATTGGTTCTTTTAGTTGCTTGAGCACTCCTGCAACTTCTGGCCATCCAACTCCTGAATTCTAGAAGGAACGATGCCAGGACACCCTACCCCAGGGATGTCTCACCCCATGTCTCACCCCGAGTTTAAAGGCAACAACTGGTAGAAGGACTGATTGGTTGGAGTAAAGATACTCCAACAGTTGGCTACTGGAGGCCTTTCCTCCAATGAATTGAAGTAGCAGATTGGCAGACTTTCCAATTTGCCCTTCTTGATTCTCATGCATCAGATCTACATCAGGGGCTCCCAAACAATCCTGTAAGATCTGTAACCACCTGACCAGCAGGTCCCTCAGCAGGCACTTTGCCCACCTTCTCAAATTTGGCAATCAGGTACCCCCAGTCAAAGCATGTCACAGTGCCAGGCTACTTTCTGTCCTTGAGCCGGGACGCGGGTGCGCGGATGACCACGCAGGAGTATGACTGTGAGCTAAGGCGAAGAGCTGGGAGCGCCCGGTCGAGGTTGTGGAGGTCTCAGACACTCAATCTGCCAACCCGAGACTTCTTGGGATCAAAACCCTTAAAACTGGGGGGCTCCCGTTTTGAGACACCCCAGATTGGCTGTTTCATGGGTAGTGAATTCATCATGCGAGTCGATGAACAATGCATGGAGAAACCAGGAAATCCGCTAGCATCCCGCATCCCACTCTCAAGTTGGCCGTCTCTATCACGTCATGCCCTGGTCTAGTAGTCTAGGTCCAAAAAGGTCACATAACACCTTCTCAAGGCCCCTAAAGTGGTTAGCTTATGGGTGAAACAAACGACTCTACAATGCCTTCACATCCAAAACACTTTCCAAAAGGGGATTTGGGCACTGAAACCTAACCACGTCACTATAGGACCAGAGCTTGAGTCGATGATGTTCTACTGCTCCAAGCACTTGATTTCTGTGTTGAGAACGTGAAAGTCAAGTTTCATTTTTGCTCGTCAAGCATGTAGATCATGTAGCGACGCAACTTTCCAGAAAAGAAACCAATGGGCACAGGGATGAGGTTGGTGAAACATGCTCTGGATACAGGTGCAGCTCAAAACACTAGGTGCACTGGCGGAGGTACAGGTTTTTAAGCTTCAAATGAGATTCAATGGCCAAACCAAAGGGTACTGCACTATTCTTCCCCAAAACCCTTGCTTGGAGAATCTTTGAGACTCAGCCCTCAAGTTGGGTCAAAAAGGTCCGAAGCTCACATTCTCTTCCCTGGCCATCCGAAAAGTCCAGGAAGTCTCCTCGTCCGACACGTCTCGCCCGACCCCTTGGTTGACCCGGTGGACTCATGTTCACTCCACACCGACGACGTGCGCACCGACAACTGCAGGCGCTTTGAATGGGGCGGTGGCATGAGCGTGACACGGGACTGTGCTGGGTGCCTGGGCTGCCTGGAACCATTGGGTTTTATCTACTTACAGTACTACTTTCTTCCTTTCTTCCTTTCTTCTTTTTCTTTTTCTTTGCTTCTAGTAGCAATGGCCTCCGCCCTACTGTAGCGATGGCCTCCAACATTTCTTTTCAACTTACCTTACTACTTTCTATATAAGTATCTCGGACAATCCCTAATCTTCCAAACCAGCGAATGGTTGCTGGGTGGAGACTGTGAAAGCCATGTAACCAATGGGTTTCTTTCACTGCCCCTTCTACTGCGGCGTGTTCGGAGGTCCTCTATTCAAGTCAACATCTCACTTGGCGCAGTGGTTCCTTCAGTGGTTCTTTCTCCGCATGTTTTTTTTGGAACAAAGAAACTCTTGTCTCTTGACAAGCCAGACATGTTTATTCTCTATCTACTGATGCGCTCGCCAGTTACCAGGCTAATTCGAGATCTTCAACACACTCATCACGGCCCTTTCAACCCTTTCAACCTGATACCGTTGGCGTGTTTGCCCCTGACCATCTCAGGGCGTGCTTCGTCGGCTTTGAGTCGAACTTGGGCGACCGGATCTGCGACAACGGTGAGGGCACCACCAGCAGCCTCGAGTGCCGCCCGTTGGAAGTAAGACGAGGGAATCGGCGACACCGAGTTGCAAAACTGAGAGAAAAAGAAGGAACAGAGAATCTGCAGAATCCTGAAGATCAGAGGCATGTGTTAGGCAAGGACGAACACTTGCCTCGTTTTTCTGATCTTCCACCATCCCCCTAATTAAACCTCTCCTCTCACGCCAAGCATTCATTAGCAGTCACTAGCTTCTTCCAGGTTGTTTGGCCAAGTGAGCACCGCCTGCCCAGGTTCTCAATACAACTTCGACAACTTCGATTGTTCTCCCACGTACCCGCAGAAGCTGGAGACGACGGCACGCCCCAGCATCACCTGCCACCAGTCCTGTCCCTCCAGCAACTTCAGGCGGGAAGAAGTCGAAAAAGTATGGAAAAGTGACCCGTCGGGTGTTTGTCCTCGAGAGAACTGCCTACTCAGGCGGAAGAACTGCGCCACCTGCAGCTCTACCACCTCCAATGGTAACTTGGCTTGATGTGGCATGCTGAATGGGAAGCCAAAGTGACTTCTTATTCTTCCCAATTCATAACGTTCCTATTGAGGGTATAGTTACAGTAGTTTTTGGTTTCCACCGTTGGTCGGTGATCCTTGATGGGTCAGTTGCGAAAACAGGACTATGGTGGAACATTGGACATGAGATGGTGTGCAGTTTCTCGAACCAAGAAGAAGAATCGTTTGACAAGAGTCCTCAGCCTAATATTCCTCGTCACAGGGACAGCCATCAAAATGTTGGCACTGTCTTCTGCAAGGGTCCCTATTTACGAATCATCATCATGTTGCTGTGCACACGACAGACTCCTGCAGAAGCCGTCTCACCGAGTGCGTCGTCAGGCCAGCTGTGCATCGAAGCCTATGACGACTACTGCCCCTCTGGCAATCAGGTCACTTGCCTTTGAAGCCTTTGAGCCCATCGCAACAACGCTGGATCTGTTGGCAAGCTTCGTTTCGATGGGATGCGAAAATGAACGGCATGGTCCCACATGCAGTGTCCATGCTGGTAGAGAAATGCTTATTTATTTATATATACATGTACATATACATAGAGACGATCACGAGGATTTCCAAGCGAAGCTCTTCGGCGGTCTGCTTCGCTCGCCCGTCCATTTACTCTAGAATCAAAAATCAAAAGCTATCTCCTTTGTGGCCCCTGGTGTTCAAATTTGGTGCTTTTCAGCTCGGTCATGTTTTTCCTCCTTTTGCTGCCTGAGTCAGCTGCTGAGGAGGATTGCACCTTTTTGACCTGCTGTGTGGCAAAGGCTGGGCACTGTGCGACACCAAAACCATCCTCCACTTTGGCAGTCCCCCTCTGTAAGACATGCTTGAGTTGCCAACTCAACCCGGATGTGTACCTGAAGTCATTTCGGTCTTTGCCGTCGATCGCAGAGCGCATGTCGGAGAGAGGTCAGTGGCTTGAACTACTGGGGAGAAGATTGCCTAGCTTTCGGCACAGCCAGCAATTGCTCAGGCGGACTGGAAGAGTTGGATGGGAAGAGGTTTTGGCACGTGAGGGAATGGTGGCCGGTGGTTAGATATATGATCCGACACTTGGGCTTGGAATGTAGATTTTCGCTTCGATGTTTTTTTGTTAACCTGACCGGTTTTGCGATACCATGTCACTCTTGTGACCACGGTCACCGATCTTGTGCAGGAAAGCTGTTGGATCGGTAGGTTCTTGGACTACGCCCCCCGTTAGACGCAAAAGCCCTTCGCACAGCGGAGAATCGACAAAGTGAAGATCTGTGGAACTGATCCGAACCCCCTGCCTCTCAGCACTTGGGAATATCTGGAGCGCACCAAAATAACCCTTGCTTACCCACCAGGCATGGGAGGTAGGTGAATTGCATTTTTGGATTCCCATTGGCACAGCCCCTGACAACTTTGGATTCTTTTGAGCATCTCCGTTTTCTCACGAAGACTTGTGTTGCGTTTCAGACTTTCTTAAACATTTGCTGCTGACTGCGAACTTGGCGAATTCGATCACTAACTTGGACGATGTGAACTTGAAAGCTCTTGATCCTCTTGGACCAGGGAAGTTGAACGTGATCCTCTCACGGCTTCAACTGGAGCGCTTGCCCATGGATGCTGCGGCGGTCTACGACCCTCTGGCACCACGCCCGCGACCCACAGGCGGGAGAAGGATGGAGTTGTGAAAGAGGATGAATGATATTGAAGACATGTAGTTATACAGTATTCAAAGGACTTGGAATCTGATTGACTTCTGACGTAACATGTAGGAGGATGGCCCTGCTTCAAAAGGCTTGAGGTTGTTCAAACAGGGGCATGATGTGCTCCAGGCCATTTGGTCTTGCTGGGGTTGGTTGAACCTCGGATGTCAAGGTTTTGGACGGCTTTTGCAGGAATTGAGCGCTTGGGCCCGACCTTTGTGCTTCCTGCAAGGTAGCATGATGTCCGAGTGCTATCAGAGCAACTGCAATCAGATCACAGAGGATGCAGCACATGTCGCGGCTAAGGGTGGTCAAGATATGTCTCGTGATGTCGAGCACTGGATTCCGTCAACGACGTGTTGGGTAGATTACTTTAAGTGTCCCTTCCCCTCAAAAAGGGTATTGAACAAAAAAGACACACTTTGACTACCCAGCGGCACTGGTCACCGGCGAGGAGTTCGTGCTGAACCCCTTCACCGGTTTCTACACTGATCAGCGAATCTGCCCGGTGCAGGTGGGCTTGGAGCCTTTTCTGGCCGTGGATTTGTTTTGGGGTACAAACCGGTCGAGGTAGAGGACCATACGGACGTGTTGGTTGATTCACCTTCCATCTCCCACCCACATGTGTTGGTGGGTTGGCAAAGCAGTCCATTTTTCGTGGGATGAAAAGGACATGTTCCCTTGTTCTTCAGGGTTGACCACTCCGTTGGTGTTGAAGTGCTGTTGGAGAGTCCTGGAAGATGAGGGGACCAGAGGAGGGGTCCGTCCAGACAGAGTGAATTCTCAGATTTTTGGACAGGACAGGTGTGGTGGAGTTAGTCCAACAAATTCTTTTGGATCTGGAAGACAGACTGTTAGTTAGACATCCAACAATGAGCAATCCTTCGGGTGACGCCCACCGAACGTTCCTCCGTCACAGCCAGCTAGTATGTGAAAGTGTTTGTTTGAGCCCATCATTTCAAGAAAAATGTAAGGAGCCGCCCTAAAACAGCAACAAGAAGCTACTAGTAGCAAAGGGCATCGCTACCAGGAGCAAGGACTCTACTAGCAGCTCCTGGCCTTACTACTAGTAACAAGAAGCTACTATTACATACCGTGAGGTCTTGGTGCTGAATCCTTCACTGCCGCAGGAGTCGGTGGATCCGGGCTTCCAGTGCTATGAGGGGCCCTTCGCGGCGGCGGGGATCACCGATGTGCTCACACAGTGCCAGGCTAGGGGTGTGGCGCGGGCGTCGGCGTCGTCGGATGAGGCTGGGAGGTGTGATGTTGAGATGCGTGAGATTTAATGTCAGCATGTTTGCGAAGTTGGAGATCACCATGTTCTCCTTTTGGCAGGCCCCCACCTTTGAAGGCTACCTCTCCAAACCACCAAGAGACCGGCACACCTTACATTGGGAGTTTTCGTGCGCATATCTAAGTAGTGCGACAAATGGATATTTGATGATATTTGCTTGGCACCTGATGGAACTACCTCTGATTGCTGCTTCCTTGTCTTCCACTTCGCCTTAGTCCTCTTGCAAAGACACTTGTTGCTATAGCAACAGTATCACTTCGTGTCGATGGCTTGAGTCAGAAGCCTCTCTGCAGCAAGGACAGCAATTTCCAATACAACTTCTGCCGGAACCGGAAGAGCGTCGACGGCCGCCCCTTCCGGGCACCTTGGAGATCCGGTTTCGGCGGGTTTCTTCTGGGGAAGTGAGGAAGAGATTCTTGGCAGGATGGTGTTTTGATGTGTTTTGCGTGATGTGTTGAACTTCATTGCGTGGTTAGGATTGAGGTATGCCAGTAGTTTGAATGACAGATCATGCACAAAAGGAAGAATGGTTTGCCGCGCTGCTGAAATTTGTGCCAGTGCGCTGGTTTGAGATCTCATACGCAGGACCTTATCCAACATGACCTGGTGTTGAACGTTCGTATTTGGAAGGCCTGGTTGGCCTCAGCAGTTGAATCACTGTGGATTATGTAGTTGTCATTGTTCACATTCCAAAATTTTCAACATCATTCAAGGCTGAGATTCGAGGAGGTACATGCTTTGCATGCCACAGAGCTTGTCCAGCAAGTTGTGGCGACGTAGTGGAATTGAATTAAGTTCGGGTGGAGCTGAAAAGAGGCCTGGACTGCCCACATAACTTCATAACTTCACATCACCTCACTTGATACGTGGCCATTCAATCTCCCACACCACCGCGATCTACGCACGGTCGACGGCCACCCAACAAAGGTTTGCTGCAGCTTCCTCTTCCTGAACCCTCAGGGCATGGCGGAGTGTCGCTTCATGGGAGCGGCGCAGGGCAGTTGCCAGCTGCTGCTGGAGGTGTCGCTGGTGTCGGCGATTGGATGAGGTGTTGGTCAGAGCCAGGTGAGGTGGTGTGTTTGAAGTACTCCCTATCCACTCCATGAACCATTCCTTTGTAACTGCGTGGTGGTGTTCTTTTTGTGGCAAGGATGCTATTAGGTGAGGCCATCGCAAGTAGGTTGGAGGCCATCGCTAAGAAGCTACTAGACTAGTAGCCACTAGAGCATCCATGGTTTAGGCCCCTTTTTTTGTGCAAGCAAATCCAGCTTCGCTGAGAAGGGTCAACCGATCAACTTGGGTCTCCAGAAGCCTCAGATCGCCTGCCGTATTTCAGACCCCTGACAAGACTGTTTTTTCCCCAAACAGTTTTCTGTTGGGGTTCTATCTTAGAAACAAAAGAGCTGGCCACACTCACTGGCCGCGCCGCTGAACTCTGTGGCTGGGCTCTGTGGCTGGGCTCCGTGGCTGGGCTCTGTGTCCAGGCCTTGTCCTCCTCTTGTCCTCTGTGGCTGGGATCTGTTCTGTGTCCAGGCCTTGTCTCTTGTGGCTGGGCTCTGTGTCCAGGCCTTGTCCTCCTCTTGTCCTCTGTGGCTGGGCTCTGAGTCCGGCCTTGTCCTCCTCTTGTCCTCTGTGGCTGGGCCTTGTCTTCTTCTTGTCCTCCTCTTGTCCTTGTCTTGGCCGCGCCCCTCAACTCTGTGGCCCGGCTCTGTGTCCGGGTCTTGTCCTCCTCTTGTCCTTGTCTTAGCCGCGCCCCTGAACTCTGTGGCTGGTCTCTGTGGTCCGGTGTACTGGAGAGGAGTGTGGCCGAACAAATAGCGATATCAATGCCGACAACTATACAAGCATAGACCCCAAACAGCTTCAAAGCGATTCGTTTAGACCAATATTCGTCAAAAGTCGACTTCTTGGTACGCCCTACCTTCACCCCAAGAGCAAACTGCTTCATCAATGAATTTTGGCATTGACATCGCTACTTGTTCGGCCACACTCCTCTCCAGTAAGCCGGACCACAGAGACCAGCCACAGAGTGCAGGGGCGCGGCCAAGACAAGGACAAGAGGAGGACAAGACCCGGACACAGAGCCCAGCCACAGACTTCAGGGGCGCGGCCAAGACAAGGACAAGAAGAGGACAAGGCCCAGCCACAGAGGACAAGAGGAGGACAAGGCCTGGACACAGAGCC